CCTGCTCAAGTCCAAGCTCCCACCTGTGCCAGGGAGCACTTCCAGGTGTGATTCAGCTGAGCCACCTCAGCAGAGACAAAGCACACCCTGAGTGCCTTTTCCTCTGTGCTGAGCACACCCAGATCCCCACTGGGGTGTTGAAGGCAGACACAGAAGTGCACAGGTGGCACCTGAACTTTGTTTCCTCATGGACAGTTCCATTTGTGGTTATTCAGGTGATGGGAGAGGACAACACACAGGAGCAGGTCTCAGGGCTTGGATAAGAATCCCCACCTGTGCCAAGGGCTGGGAATTTGAAGGAAGCTTTGTGCCAAAGCACACATCCTCTACCACTGGGCCACTGGCACTTTTCTCCTTGCACCACTGGGTCCAGATCAGAAGTGAGAAGCACAGCCTCAAATCAGAGCTGTTTCTGCATCTCCAGCTGCATTTATCTCCTGATGGCCAGATCATCCTGCTCCTCTCACCTCTGGGGGTTACTCACCTGCCCATTGAACAAACCTGGGGCTTTATTTGGTTAAAGTGAAAGCTGGTGTTGAGCTGGAGAATCTGCACTCTGTTGGAATCCAAAATGCAGAAAACTCCCAGAACTTTGGGCCTGTAAGCCAAAGCTTAGAATTAAACTCATAATTTGACCTGAGAATTTAGGAAAGCCTTCCAAACTTAGGTGATAGAAGTGAGAATGCAGATTTATATTTTAAAGCAGAGACATGTTAAGCTAGGTGAAGTTTAGAGTTTTAAAGTACAGTACTGCGGGTTTGTGTGCCATAACATGATTGGCTAAGAAAGCTTACACTGGAGCATGAGCCCATAAGATGAAATATTTAAGGATTGGGTCAAAACCATAAATATCCTTGTTGGCAGTGTTTTATTGGTTAATAAATCCTTAAAAGGTTTGAAACTAGAGGTCTTATGACCTTCTGAGCCATGAAGTGAAGATGTGAGCCAAACTCACCCTTTCTGCCTATGCAGAAGATAAGAAAAATAAATCACATCATCTAAAGCAACTCAGAGGTTCTGTCTCTAACTCATGCAAAATTCCCTCACAAGTGCCAAAGGGAGCAGCCCCAAAACATCCCAGCTCCCCCTGTGTGAGCATCCCTGTCCCTGCAGAAGGGATGAGGAGCTGAGGCTGGCAGCAAAGGCAGCGCAAGGACAAGCAGGGAGTGTGAGGCAGAGCTTGGCACTGCTCCCAGCTGCTCTCCCTGGCTCACCTGGCCCAGGCCAGCCCTGCCTGGAGGCAGCACAGCCCAGGGGATCAGTCAGGACCAGACAGGCCGGGCTGCAAACCCAACAGCATCTCAGCTGCACAGCTGTGGTCACGAGCTGGCAGGCCAAGAGTTTGGGAACAGCTATTTTTGTGGTTTGTTTATAGACAAAGCTTTTAATGTTTCTACCACTGTACTATGTTGTTGACACTCTGATACTGCAATAATATCATAAATTATATTTAGAGGCTGGAATTGTGTTGTCTTGGCTTTTCTTTGGTTTTTTGGCATCTGCAATGCCTGAAGGAAACTCAAGGCATCTTTAATCCTGACTTCACTGGGATCCTTGTATCAAACCATACACAAGTGGCATTCAAAGTATGTGCATTTCAAACCATGTGGCAAAAACTTCCTGGGGAAAATGAAAACAAGAACTTCCTCTGGCTCCCAGGAGGCTTTCAGCTCTCCCCAGTGCCCTTGCAGTGGGTGGGAGGCATTTCTGGGTGTACCTCAGCACATGGAGCAGTGGCAGAGCATTTCCCTGCCATTCCCTGGGTTTGACAGCATTCACCACCCTGCTGGGCTCCCTCTCAATGAGCATTTAAGTGGTGCTGTTTAACAAGTGCAAATACTTGTGGAAATCTCATTTTAAGCTTCAGTGGTCACTGAAAACCAGTTTCAAAGGCAGGCAGGAACAGAAGGGTGTGATTTATGTAATGGGGCACGGCAAACTGGGGCACTTCACCAACACTGCCAGACAGAGAATTACTCACTGCAGAGAGCACAGCATCCCTGCAACCACAGACACTGCACACAACCTCACAGCCTGCCCAGGAACAGGGGCACACAACCTCACAGCCTGGCAGGAACAGGGGCACACAACCTCACAGCCTGGCAGGAACAAGGAAGAGAGGCTGATTTTATCAGGAAGAAAATGATCATTAATCAGTGATTTCTGGATTTCAGACCAATTTCATTTCTGATTTCTGGATTTCAGACCAATTTCTTTGAGTGCCCAACTGAAGTGTCTCATGGGTGACATCCTGCAGGTAGAGGAGCTCTCAGAGCCTGAAGTTACTCAGACTTAAGCAGGGCCACAAATCTTTGTAGCATCCCAGCCTCTGTCAAGCCATGGAGATGAATCCCTTCCTGCCCAGTCCAGGCAGGACACCAGGGTCAGTTCCCAGTAGGAGCAGAGGTTCAAGGCCAATCTCAGCTCTTTGCCCAGGGCTCTGTGTGCCTGCCAGCTCCATGCACAGCCCCTGTTCCTGCAGGAAGCCATGAACAGCCTGGGGGGCTCTGGCCCCTCTCCTCTGCCCACCCACTGCTTCCAAACTGCTCAGCCCTGCTGTGGGAATGCCTCATCCCACCTCCAGCAACCAATCCTGCTCCTGTTGCTGCATGGGCTGAGCCCCTGCCTGCTCCTTCTGCTACCCACAAAGCTGAGACCATGGCCCAGCAAATGTCACAGTTGAGATGGCCACAATACACAGAGTATCCCCATACAATTCCAGAAAGCTTCACCCCATACAGAGTAACCCCAGAACCTCATCAGAAGGCTTCAGGTGTGTGCCCATACAGAGTAACACCATACTACTTCAGAAAGCTGCAAACATCTGCTCTTCTTGTTCTTTGGCCCAGCCTTTTACACCCCTCATGTTCATGCACTGCCCCTGTGTGCCCTCTGCTCCCTTTGGTGGTTGCTCAGTGCCCCTGGGCACTCCCTGGCTCATGGCTGGCAGTGCTGCCCACAGCTGTGCCCATGGGGATGAGCTGCAGCCCCACTCCCAATCACCACAAACTCTGTGCCTACAAGACCACCCTTTCCAAACCCCTCAGTGGCCAGAAATCCCATAAACATCTCCCAGTGGGACTGGATGGGCTGAGATTTTCCTCCCTGCTCCCTTGATGCATAGGGGGAATATTGGATGGCTTTTATCCTGGTACCAGGACAGTGACAGGGCCCTCTGAATCACCTCCTGTACTCACTGTGGCCTGGGTTTCCCCGGGACATTGTCACCCTGGGTTTCCCCAGGACATTGTCACCATGGGTTTCCCAAGGACATTGTCACCTGGGCAGAAGGGAGCCAGGGAATGCACCACTGACTTGGAAAGATGATTCCATTTGCTTCCTCCTTCTGCACAGATCCTGAGCTGGTTGGGACAGGACCAAACCTTGTCCTGCTTTTGTTCATCCCTGCTTTTCAAGAACTGCTGTTCCTCAGGCTCAGTCCTTTAGAATGATTCCTGCACCTCTAGAGAGCCTCAGCAGAAAGCAGTAACCTTGAATTCCCTCCAAAGTCACGGGCTGGTACAGAATACTGCACTGCTCCTTCTGGATGGTGCACATTCCAGAGGAAGGGAAGAAATGCCTTATTTCCAAAGTCAGGGAATTCCATGGGATCTGCCAGCTCCAGCAGGGTGCCCAGAGCTGCCCTGGGCTCTTTTGGGGCAGCCATAGCTGAGCAGAGCTGGGCACCACCAAGAGCTGTGGAAGAGCCATTTCACAACAGCTCAGAGGTGGAGTTAAGGGAGCAGGCAGCTCTCGAGGGTGAGTGCCAGGGAAACCAGGGCACAGCAGGACTTTCAGTGGCACAGGGACCAGCAGGAGGAAGGAGGGGCATGGGCAGAGCCCTGCAGCAAAGGGCCTGTTGTTCCACTTGCTGTGTGTCACCTTCTGACCTTATGCTGACATTTGCAGCTGTCTGTGCAAGGGGAGCTCTCTCAGGGGAAGAAGCACGTGAGGTTCTTTGTGCTGGGTCAGAATTTTCCATGGATTTCAGTTACGTGTGCAGGAGCACAGAGCACAGGACAGGAAGCACAGGATGTTCTGCCCACCCGATCCCACAGTCCCAGAGAGCACCAGGCTGGAAAGCTCAGCAGCACTGAGCACCCAGACCTGCAGAACTTGAGATAAATCCAAGCTGGCCCATCCCTGCACTGATTTCACATTTGCTCTGTGATTTGTACAGCCTCACTGAAATAACCCAAGTGTTGGGCCTACTGCCACCTCCACCAGGGCCTCATTAGCCTGGGCTTTGCCAAAGCTGTTCTTCAGCTCAAAGCCTTTTCCTCAGGGGTCCCACTCTGTGTTTGCAGCAGGTAATGAGATGCAGAGGATCCAGTGGCCCTGGCTGGAGAAGCCCCAGAGGCACTGCACCCCTTGCTGGGATGCCAGCTTAGCCCCTATCCCCCTCCCCTGATCATCTTCCTGGCCCTCTGCATTGTGCCCAGAGCTCCATGAGGAAAGCACTGGGAATGCAGGCACTGTGAGGGGATGGATAAGGAGCTGCAGGAGTTAGACTGGGACTCCAAAATGCTCCTCAGCTCCACAGCCTTTGCATGAGTCACTTCATCTCTGTTACACACCTCTGGCTGTGACCAAGGAATGCTCTCCTGGTCTTTAGCTGGGGAAGAGACACTTGGAAAGGATGTTTGCAGCACAGGTTGTGTCTCCCACAGGACAGGGAGCATCCTGGGGTGGGTCACTGTGAGTTGTGACCATCACAGAATCCCAGAAGAGTTTGAGTTGGAATGGACCTTAAAGGTGATCTAGTCCAGGACGCCTTCCACTGTCCCAGTGTGCTCCAAGCTTTAGTGTCCAACTTGGCTTTGGACACTTCAGATCCAGGAGCAGCCACAGCTTCTCGGGGCACCCTGTGCCAGGGCCTCCCCACCCTCCCAGGGAAGGATTTCTCCCTAAAATCCAACCTAAACTTACCCCCAGTAGGTTTAGACTGGAGTCCTTGAGGGAGCTGAAGCTGGACAAGGAGAGCCAGGCTGGGATCTCCATCACTTCCCAACTGCAGCACACCAAGCCTGGAGAAGGGCTGCCAAGGCAGCAGGTAAGGAAGGAGACTCTCTCCCCTGTACTCACCAATCCTGTCCAGCCTGTCCAGAGCCACAGTCTCGAAGGCTCTCCTCATCATGGGGTACTCCTCCAGAACCTCGTTGAAGTTGTCCACGGACAGCGAGTATAGGCGGCAGTAGGTGTCGGCGCGCACGCTGGCCGTGCGCCGGCCACGCGTCAGCAGGCAGATCTCTGCAGGCAGAGAGAGGCTCAGACAGGGCATGGGCAGCACCACAGCACCCCTGCAACCCTCCCTGCAGTGCCCTGCCAGCCTCCCCTCCCACAGAAAACAGCCACAGTTCACATTCTGTGTGCAGCCTGAGGCAGCTGGCACACACAGCTGCCCCTCGGGGTTCTGCTGGTCCAGTCAGGCACACAAGGTTTGTTCTGGGGGATTATCAAAGGCAGCACTGTGGGTTCACACTGGAGGAGTTGTGTTTCTCCAGCTCCTTGTGGGCACTGGGAGCAGAAGGTCAAGCCGTGCTCTCATTGAAGCCACTTGTCTCTAGATTTGTAAAGAGGCTCTGTGCTGATCTGTGCCTTTGGTGCCTGGCTGTAATTTTGATCTCTGTACCTGGAACATTTGTCTTTCCTGAGTTTTCAAGGATTTTCATGTCTATGCCATGAGCACTGTCAGGGAAAGCCACATCAGTGGCACTTCCCAGCTTGGGGTGTATTTACACTGCTGTCACACACTCCTCACTGCTCAGCTGGTAACTGAACACAAAGCCCTGCATTCAACCACAGCTCCTTGAGCACCCAACAGAGAGCTCCCAAATCCTGCTTTCCCACTGCTTGCACAGAGCCTGGGCAGCAGAGACAGGCACTTCAGGACAGATGGTGTGGGCTGCAGAGTGACAGCACTGTGCTCCCTGTGGGTGTTGGGTGCCAATCCTCCTGCACCTTTCCTTGGATCCATGCTGAGCCTCCCCAAAGCCCTGCTCCAGCAGCACCACAAGGTTCTGAGTGTGCTCCCAGGCTGCTTTCCCAAGGAAATGATGCTTAGGAGACAGTGCCACGTGTGTGAGGAGTTGTGATGGAATGTCACAGGCAAGTTCAATCCCATCTGGCAGTCAGGGGATCCTGACTCCAACCCTCCAGCTCCAAATGCCAGGCTGCAAAACCCTTGTACCTAAGTGAGGTGCAGACAGGTTGTTCCACACGAACCAGGAGTGACAGGAGTGTGGGAAATGCATAATAGGAATTTTTTAGAGGAAAGGCCTGGAAGGTTTTGCTCTGTCTCCCCTCAGCAGATCATCAGAGGTGGTGCACTCAGAGCTTGTCCTGCAACCTGCCTGTCTGGGATGTGAGCTGCTGGCATCTTCCCC